GAAATCAAGTTTATCCTTACAGTTTTTGTACAGAGGACGACTTTCTCGTAAAAACTAATGACGCGATGGTTAAAAACTTTTTAAAATCAATACTTGAAATTCACCAACTTATCTTATTATAGGCAAATTTAAATAGAAATTTTAAATACACTGCAAATAAAATTACGTAATAACTTTAAAATTATGGTTGTAATATCTTTCTAATTTCTGTATCGATTAAAATATTTAAGTGAAATTATTTCCGCAGTCGACCAAAAAAAAAAAATCAGATCCACTAGCATTACAAAAGGGCAAATGTTCCGCTCCCATAATCAGAACAATCAGAAAATCTAGAAAATTAAAACCGAGTTAAAAAAATTGAGTGAATTACAAAAGCATTAGCAGACGAGAAATGGACGCCTACAGCTGACCTATGTACGACCTCGACCATTTAGCGACATAAATCGATCTGTTTGCTACGCCTGATTGTCCTGCCAATACGCTATGTTTGGCCATCAACAATTTTTATTTCATGCTGATTGCTCGTTGACTTAATTGTTCTAAGCACCAGGGCAGGTCAGTAACGTGCAACGTTTCCAAGTTTTCTTAGAAAAATAAAATTGAACTGTTTCTATACTTAACAAATATTGAAATTGTTTCGATACGTTTTACTCAACAATAAAAGATGTGACATGCTTCAAGTAAACAGTGACAATCGCAAAAACAGAGAAAGGAAAAATAATTGCAGTAATGTTTTCAATACATTAAACAAGCCGAACGTTTCTTCAGAGGTGATAGTCGGAGTGGAAGGTTTGGTCACTATTCAAATCAGCTGAATTAGTTTTAAGACTATTTATTATTAGTGAGTATAATGGTGAAGTTACTTAGGCTACACTAGCAAATTAACAAGCTTAACCAAAGGTCACGAGTCAAGTAAAGCTCAGCTCATTAACTGACATGACTCAACCTTCACCCTGTAGGTGTCCACCCCCACCCGCACCCGAGGGCGAAGAGTTCACAAGAATTGACGATCTATTCACGCGATTTATTCATCTGGACAGATGAGATATTGTGTTCCATGTAGTTAGCAGATTTCCGTAACCCCCCCCCCTCCGCTGTGTGAAAACAGAACGTTAGTAAGTATTGATCTCTAATCAGTGGCTATTTGATCTGGTACATGATTACCTAGTGACAAAGCTTGTGATTTTATGCGATGGTGTCACCCCTCTCCCCTTGACAATAGGTGTCACCTGATCAGCCACCCCGGCCATTAAAACACCCCTGTGACACCCGGACTTAAGCTGATTGCTGTTTATACAAACACCAATTTGAAAAAAAAACACCCGACGTTGCATTTGATCATTTTCAACTTTTCTTGGCCTGAAAAAAATTAAAAGCAATTATTTTCAAGTATACACGTTTCAATAAGACACCAGTTGGTAGTTTCTACAGAAGTATAGCTTAGCAGAAATAATGCTTCTCAACTGTGGTTAACTACATTAAAAATGCCACTAAAATATATTTCGCTGGTTGTTGTTGCCAGCAAGAAATCAATGACATGAGATTTGATGCGCTACATTTGACCCCAGTGCGAAGGTTCCAGTCCAATAAAGACACTCGGAAATTAAAAACCGTTATCTCGTTAATTTGTGTGACCTACAAAATCATTTTATTAAGGTAAAATTGGTCCAATCTTCGACTTGAAACCACTTATCGTGAGCTGTTTGTAGATGGCGTAGGTCTGTCCATCGCTTGACAAGCCGTGCACACATGACTTGATTAGTCCTTGACCTCGTGAATTGTAAGGTCACTATTACAGTCGATTGGTCTGATTGGATGGTCCCAGCAATCGGTTTCATTCGTGTGGGTGTGTGGTGATACCCACACTGACCTTTGGCGTGTGGTGATATCCACACTGACCTTTGGCGTGTGGTGATATCCACACTGATCTTTGGCGTGTGGTGATATCCACACTGATCTTTGGCGTGTGGTGATATCCTCACGACCGATCAGATCGAAGTAGTTTACATCAGTGGACAAAACTAAAAGAAAACCAAACCTACTTTAGTTGGTTGTAGAGTAGGTACGAGAAACAATTAACAGTCACTTTAGTTTTAAATAAATAGTATTTTAAAACCTTATAGCAACAATAATGAATAATAACAAACAAACAATTAAACAAACAAACAAAGAAACATAAAAAAGACACAAACATACATACATACATACATACATACAGATATACAGAAATACAAACAGACATACAGACATACAGACATACAGACATACAGACATACAGACATACAGACATACAGACATACAGACATACAGACATACAGACATACAGACATACAGACATACAGACATACAGACATACAGACATACAGACAAACATACATACATACAGACAGACATACAGACATACAGACATACAGACATACAGACATACATACAGACATACAGACAAACATACAGACAGACATACATACAGACAGACAGACAGACAGACAGACAGACAGACAGACAGACAGACAGACAGACAGACAGACAGACAGACAGACAGACAGACAGACAGACAGACAGACAGACAGACAGACAGACAGACAGACAGACAGACAGACAGACAGACAGACAGACAGACAGACAGACAGACAGACAGACAGACAGACAGACAGACAGACAGACAGACAGACAGACAGACAGACAGACAGACAGACAGACAGACAGACAGACAGACAGACAGACAGACAGACAGACAGACAGACAGACAGACAGACAGACAGACAGACAGACAGACAGACAGACAGACAGACAGACAGACAGACAGACAGACAGACAGACAGACAGACAGACAGACAGACAGACAGACAGACAGACAGACAGACAGACAGAAAGACAGACAGACAGACAGACAGACAGACAGACAGACAGACAGACAGACAGACAGACAGACAGACAGACAGACAGACAGACAGACAGACAGACAGACAGACAGACAGACAGACAGACAGCCAAGTAACAAACAAAACAAAAAATCAAATAGAAAAAGCATAAAATACTAATATATAAAAGCCCATGTGCGCACTTCTCTCTCTTTCTCTCTCTCTCTCTCTCTCTCTCTCTCTCTCTCTATCCGCAAGTTTTTTAGGCGATGTGATCAGTGTGTTCAGTAATATATAGAGAACTTTAAGATGCGGACTTAGTTGAAAATAATATGGTGGATGTTATAAATGTATAAACAAAATTTTATTTAAAGCAGGAAAATTAAAAATAAAGGCATATTCGAGTGTAGAAACACAATGTTAATTATCCAACCACAAAAGCGTTTATTGTTGTGAAAAGAACGCAATAAACAATGACGTCACATGCCACATGTTTAAACTGTGGAAAGAACACAAAAATTATGGATGCCATCTTCCAATTTTAGACTATAAAGAAATGAAATATTTTATTCAAATTTGATTTAGATCTACTAATCAAGACGTACGCTATGATATGTATACAATTTTCTAAGCTGACAGTAATACACATTATTAAAAAAAAACATAACTTTCATGAACATCCGGGTTTTCAACTAAATCAATTTAAGTCTCTGGATTTTAAGTCTCTGAATCAGCGTGTGCATTTGAAATAGGGTGTTGTGTTGACTAATAATGTATATAATTTGGTTTTAATTTTTCTAATATGTTTTGGTAGTCTATGTTATTTTAAATGTGTTGGATTTTTTAAACTATTTAGTTATTTCTTTGGTTTCTCGCTAATATCGTTCAGCGTGTAGTAAAGCACATTGTGTTTTGACCAAAAACTATTGTATAACATATTTTTCTCAAACAAGAATAACATTAAAATATATATCTAGGCCTATAATTCACGTGTAACGGGTACCGACGGCTAGTAAAGGTATAATCGTGGAGGCCTAAATCTTTTTAAAAACATATATATCACAAATGATAATTGTGATGGTTACTCAAGGTCACAATTAAAACGGCTGAAGTTACAAGTACTACCTTTGTTAAAAATGACCAGCAATCTGAATGGCTAAATGCTAACCTCCTCTCTCAATTTGTTTGGTCAATATATTTGCATTTTTTCTTACAGAAAGACGGACAGACATAAAAAAAATGTTTCTGTTATTTGTAAAATAATTTAGTTACTCGAATTATTAACATACTAGATAATTGGCCCGTTGAGGGGAAAATACAACGGGCACTATGGTGATAGTGTTTCTTCTAACTCAAAATCAAAAACCAATATCTTCACCTCAAACTAAATCTAAACTTCGAATCATAAGCGGGAATTAATCTGGGACTAATCGTAAAGAACGGAACTTTATCTAGGATTTTAAATTAAACCGGAACATTGACCGTATCCAAACATTTAATAAAAAACGGCAATTTAACCACAACTTGAACATAAATAAAAAAAAAAAAGTCGGAAACTCAAACATAACAATGAACGGAACAGGTTATTTTAACAAAAAAATAATTTAAAATCCAAACCTAAACCTTTAAATTGGATTTGGAACTTTAACCGGAATTGAAAATAAACCAAAAATCATAATTTAACTGGTATTTGAATTTTAAACAAAACATTGTCAGAGAATTGAACAGCAACGGGATTTTCTAATTTTTGTTTTTGGTGCCATAAATTTAAACCGAGCCAGGAAATAGGCCCGCCCTTAACGGAACATTATTCGTAACCGGAAATTAACTTCATCTGGAAATTAAACCGGAAATAAAACTCATAATAACCCTTACGTTGATCCTAATACATACGCTTAATTTATGTTACTTTTCCGGTATTTGTTTTGTATATCTATAAACATTTCTAAAATTAGACAATTAAATTAGGCATTTAGTTTTTTTTGGTCTATATTAATATTGACGTCATTATTATTGTATATCGTTTTCGAAATTTGATTTTGAATTGTACTTTGTATTATTCAATCAATGATGCAGTCTTTTCTGTGTATAGACGCTAAATCTAGAGATTACCACAATTTGTTATCTGGTAAACAAACTCTAGACGTAGTTCTGCACATTTACACAAAATATAGGCATAGAAAAACGTCTACTCCCCCCCCCCCTCCGCAAAGAAATATAATTTTTATTGAAAATATATTCTTATACCTCCCCCCCCCCCCCTCAGGAAAATTTAGTCCGCCCCTCCCGTCGGGAAAAAAGTCTGAAAGAAATACTGGTCGCATTTGTAGATCCTACAGACTAAATCTAGACCCTATATCTATAATCTAGACCCGTTTCCTACTTTTGGTCTCTAAACCTCTATCATACTGACAGTGTTTCTTTCAGACTATTTTTTCCGATGGGAGAGGGGCACTTTATGTTTTCTGCATAAATTAGGCGTCTTTGTTATCGTGTATCGATGACTTCACTATAATTTGTATTGTTTTCGGCATTAGATTTATTTTTTCACTTTAGAATCCAACATAGACTACTGGCCGACCACGGGATATTTTTATGTCTGGTTGGGATTGACAAATGGTGTCTCCCTAGTTGAACTACTTATGTTAATTACTACTTAAATTATTTTTAACGACGTTTTCTTGCATTTAGTGTATATTTTGTAGTAGAGAAATATGTTCATGCTACAGACAACCCACCTAGGACAAAGTTAAATAAACAAAGATGGATGAAGGGAGTGGGTGGATACAATACATGAAACCACTTTCTTAGTTTTTATTTACCTACAAGCCTAGAACAGCAAGAAAACATCTCTAAAAAAACGTTCCGGTATTTAGAATTCATCTTGTAGTAGAGAAAGATGTTTATGCTACAGTTAAACCCACCCAGGACAAAGTTAAAGGACCAAATAAAGAAAAATAAATTCTGGTAAAATCCTATGATGGAGATTCCTTCAATGTAAAGCGAAACAAAAGAAAATGCAATGCTTGGTGTTGTACAAACAATTAAAATGATAGAAATCATCAGGGACAGTTTAATAGCTTTAGTGTCTCGACTTGATGTAGAATCATTCGCTTCTCTGGTGTTCTGTTTTCGCCACTGAGATTTCTGCTGGAGCTTCCAGATAATTAAAGCTGTGAAAAATATGACGAGCAGTAAAGATATCAGGCCTAAAAAAGCGTTGATGAGGAACGAATATTTGTCCACACTGCCGTCGTTGGTCACATGAATCCCAATTTTTGTTACGTTGCTGCGCGGATAAAATTTCCAATCGTAGTAGACGGTGGAGTAGCTGGGCAGTACCATGATTATCGAGGCGACGAAGATGATGCAAATGGTAATTGTTGTTACTCTCGGGGTAATGATCTGTTTTACTTTAAGAGGAAAAGCTATGCAGACGTATCTTTCAGCGGTGATGAAGGCCATGATGAGGCACGTGATCCTGGTGAAGCAGACGTTGGGCCAGCCAGTGATGAGGTACTGGACCTCCCTGGTGTTGACTGGTGTATCCGAGAACTCCACCAACGGGTTCATCCAGATGGTATTATCAAATAACGTTACCAGAATTAGTAGGTCAGATAATGACAAAGCAAACAGGCTGATGTTTGTTGTAGTTTTAAGTCCTTGCTTGTAGAACACAACCATGTTGATGATGTTGGATATTATACCAAAGACGGACAAACTTCCGCCTAGAAAAACACAACTTACAATCTCAGTGACGAATTGCAGTTCTTGGCTTATTAGAGTATCTCTTGGGTCGTTTTCACGAACCATTTTAGGAACAATCAATTTTAAATATTGGTAAATTAGATTCTTCCTTTGATTTCTTCCTGAAATACGGATATTATGTTGTCAATAAATTGATATATGTTGAAATGCAAGTTACCATGTGCATGTTTTATAATAAAACTAAAAGAAAATGAGAAGTCGCTCAGGAAAATGCTGAAAGAGTTAGGTGTGTGAACTATAACAACATTAAATTTGGTGTCACTACACCAGCATATTAGACCCTGCACAGTCTGTGTTGTTGGTGTCAAGCTGAAGTAAAACTAGCTCCTAACCTTATGTGTTTCGTCACATACAACACATATTGTCACACGTCGTCACATCGTCTCACACCATCACATATCGTCACGCATTGTTGAATATCGTCATGCGTCTTCACAAACCTTTACATATCGTCACACAGCGTTACGTATCGTCGAAAAACGCCAAACTAATCATGGTAAAGCTCGCTCCACCTAAAAAGAAGTCACACTTTGCTCTACTTCACCACAAGTTGCAATGTATCTATTTTACAACGGCTATTTCTTTGTAAAAAATAAACGTTATCAACTTTGTGTCGACCTGTTTGATGAGTGTAAGAAAGCCTTTTATTCTTGCTGATCAAACTAGACTTAACATTAAATACGTAAGCAACATTATTTGATTCATTAATTAAACATATTTTCTTTATCTCTTTTTATGTTGATTAATTAAATTAAATTACTTCTGCTTCTATTAAACTTAGGACAATTATTTTTCTCTGATTATAATAATAGTACGGCTAGAAAGAGCTAGGAGGAATATTTTTTAATTAGTGTGTGTTATTAAAAAAATTCTAGACCAATTAGAGCCTCGTTAATTCCGGCCTCACCTAATTAGAGACTCAGTATTGATCTCTAACGCGTTGCTGCGATCTCAGAAAAAGAAGGAAACACAATGGTACTCGTTTGATAAAATATAATTGACATCGTGTTATCTTTTAATACAAACATATTATTTATTATCACGTGGAAAACATGTCAAAGTGTAACTTTATTTATTGATTCAAGTGCTTATGGATACAGAGTGTTGTTTTGTTTCCTGTCTGGTACACAGATACATCAAAAAGCATTTCACCTCGTCCACATTCAGTTGTTAGAAGCTTGGACCAAGTTAGAAACTTAGGCTCATATCTAGTCATTGGCACCAAATCGTAACCAACGGTATATTTTCAGACGTGTGACTTTGTTTTCTAACTATGTTATTTCAATGTAAACAATGTCGGCGACAATTTTCTTGGACTGAAGTTTTTCGGGAGCCATTGTCCCACCTTACGTTGGTCACCCTCTCAATGTTGAGGTAGATCCAGGTGTTAGGGGCGCGCTCATGAAAACCAAGGGTTAAATAACTGCAGGTGCACTGGGTTCATCTCTTGTAGCTCATCGTTTTCTTTGTGTAGGCCGCTTTTTAAAACGAATGCAGGCGCCGTAACGCTAATGAGATAGACTAAGTTGCTCCTGGTAACACGACAACCCGCGCGCCAGGTTCAGTATGTTCAGTGATTCAAGTGATAACCCTGACCGCTTAACCCCTTGTGAAAGAAGCATTATCGCCATAAAACCATAAATAGCTCTATTTTTTTATTGTTATAAGATGCAATTTAAGGAAGTATTTGATCTCGGTGAGTGTAAAGGATATCGGTGTTTTTATCATAAAATGAAGTGAAATAATTGACAGACATTTGTTGCCATTTTCCAGTTTGTCTATATATTGCTAAAAGCTCACGTCTGAATTATACATAACCTGGTTCCAAGTTTAGATTATAGTAGACCAGTGAGTGTATTTTAAAGATAGTCTTTAAACTTCGAAACATGCGACCTATCTTTTGTGGATGTTTTTATATCTATCTATCTATATACTACTAAAAGTCAAGTTTGTTTACATGTTTGAATATTTATTTTTTTGTTTGTCCGATCGAGTATTGTGATATGTTCTACTCTATCTGGAGAGCTGTAAAATAGTATGTAGGTAGAGAATAATTTTTTAATGCAGACAGACTGTTAATCACAAATTTATTTAAAGACGTTAATTAATTTATTGAATTATTCATACGTAGAGTAACCCTATTTTTTTAAAAGTTTAGAACGACCACTACACTCGGCGGGACCGTGACGTCACAGTTTTTTGTTTACTCTTTAGTACAATAAAATGGGGCGTCTATCGAAGAAAATTGTGTCCCCATTCAAAAGTTTAACACGTTCTAAATCTAATTTTCTGTCGGTCATAACTTTAACAATACGTCCGTTTGCTGTATTTATTACGTTCCAACACTTATATCAATTTTAAACTGTCTTTTTTCATTTAGTTTTACAATAAATTTCTCTAGATCTAAAGATCAGCTGTCGAAGGAAAGTTATGAATCTAGCCTAGATCTAGATCTAGCCTAGATCTAGGTCACTAGACTCAATGTAAATTCTAGATCTAGACTTAATGTAAATTCTACATCTAGAATCTATTTCAGGCCTTAATACATCTAGAATCTATTTCAGGCCTTAATTATTTTATATAAATCTTTGTTTGGCTAATTTAAGATAAAATTTAATTTGAAAGTTACTACTACTAGACTTAGATCTAGATCTATGCGCGTAAATCAAGTTGCATAAGGAGACTCAAAGTATAGTATAAAAATTCACTTGTGACGTCACGAGTAAATAGCTAAGTTGGTAGCGTAGTCGGCTCTCATGCGGGTGGCACAGGTTCTAGACCAATATGTCAATGATATTTTTTTCCAATTTTTTTTCAGATGTGAATGATAAAGTTGCCTATCTGAACTTGGCAGGATACAGGGCAGGTGAAGTAGAGTTCATCTGTTTCTTTGTCCTAAGCATATGAAAGGATAGTGTGGTCAGAGACATGCTCGGCTGGAATCGTTTTTTAAACGATAAAAACATGTTGTCTGAGACTTGGCGGGACACTGGGCAGGTGAAGTAGAGTTGAGTAAGTCACATGTGACGTCAGTATATGAAGGGATAGTCTGAAATCGGTGTTTTCGGTGTTTTTAAAAGATAAAAAACATATTTTTGAATGTGGGGTATGTTTTTTGTGACGATAAGTGACACTGCAGTAGCGTAGTGAGGAGGGGGGGGGGGCGGGAGGGGGAGGGGAGGCGGGTGGAGGGGGGAAGGGGGGGGCGGGGGGGGGACATATGTTGGGGCTGGGGGGGGGGGGGGTGCACATCAAAAGTTTGAGGGGGGGGGGTTGCAAATCGAAATCTTGCGGGGGGGGGGGGGGTTCAAATCGAAAAGTTTGTCCCCGGGCGCCGGGAAGGGTCGCTATGCCTCTGAGTGACAGACGTGATGTTTTTTGATGGATGACCCCCGAAACCCACAATTATCCAACGGATGACGGGTATTCTAGTATACTACTAAAACTCAAGTTTGTTTACCTGTTTGAAAATTTTTTTTTTGTTTGTCTGATTTGGTACTGTAAGAAAACTGCTCTATATTGGGGGCTGTAAAATCGTATGTAGGTAGAGAATAATTTTTGATTGCAGACAGACTGTTAATCACACATTTATTTAAAGACGTTAATTAATTTATTGATTTATTCATAGGTAGATCAACCACATTAATTTTAAAGTTTTAGAACAATAGCTAAACTGTGACTGAATAGTGACGTTCGATAACTCATTTGTTTGTTTGTTTGTTTTTTTGATTTGTTTTATGGGGAGAATTTGCATTATTTGAAGAGCTGTAAAATAGGATTTTGGGTGGTAAATATTGTTTTTTCTTAAACACACTGTTAATTACAAACTAATTTAAAGCCGTTTATTAATTCATTGATATATTCATTGGTAGATTAACCACATTAATTATAAAAGTTTAGAACAATGACTTTAGTAATAAGAAAAAATACTACTTTCTTTTTACAACAATGTTTTCAACCCATTTTTTCTTAAGGCCTATATGTGAATGATAAGGTTGACTATCAGGACCTCGCGGTGCACAGGGCAGGTGAAGTAGAGTTCACCTGTTTCTATATTCTCAGCATATGAAGTGACAGGATGGTCAGAGCCATGCTCGGCCGGAATCGATTATTTTTAAAATACAAAAATGTCTGAGACTTGGCGGGACACTGGGCAGGTGAAGTAGAGTTTAGTAGAGTTTTTAAAATATAAAAAACGTCTTTTTGAATGTGGGGGTCTGGTTATTTTGGGATGAAAAGTGCTGGCAGACGTGATGTCATTTATGGATGAACCCCCGAAACCCACAGTTATCTAACTAGATAACGGGTAGTCTAGTATACTACTAAAACTCAAGTTTGTTTACATGTTTGAATGTTTATTTGTCTGATTGACTATTGTAAATGGTTCTACTCTATGTGGAGAGCTGTAAAATAGTATGAAGGTAGAGAACAATTTTTGTTTTCAGACAGACTGTTATTCACACATTTATTTAAAGACGTTAATTAATTTATTGATTTATTCATAGGTAGATTAACCACATTAATTTTAACGTTTTAGAACAATGGCTTAACTTTGACTGAATAGTGATGTTTAATAACTCATTTTTGTTTGTTTGTTTTTCTGATTTGTTATTGGGGAGAATCTGCATTATTTGTAGAGCTGTAAAATAGGATTATGTGTGATAAATATTGTTCCTTCTTAAACACACTGTTAATTACAAACTAATTTAAAGCCGTTAATTAATTTATTGATATATTCAAAGGTAGATTAACCACATTAATTATAAAAGTTTAGTACAATGACTGTAGTAATAGTAAAAGGAGTATTTTTCTTTTTACAACAATGTTTTCATTTTTTTTTCTTAAGACCTATATGTGAATGATAAGGTTGACTATCAGGACCTCGCAGGGCACAGGGCAGGTGAAGTAGAGTTCACTTGTTTCTATGTTCTCAGCATATGAAGGGATAGTGTGGTCAGAGCCATGCTCGGCCGGAATTGTTTTGTTTTTTTAAATTCAAACACGTCTGAGACTTGGCGGGACACTGGGCAGGTGAAGTAGAGTTT